TTTTTTTTTTTTTTAAATTTTTGGTCTCGGTTGACCATAAGGCGGGAAAAGTTTGACCTTTTCATATTTAAATCAATGTTAAATTGGTCTCATGACATAGAACGTCCTACATGTTGGTTTGAAATTGGTTAGCAAATTAGTTTTTACCCATTTATTTATGTTTCAAATTAAGCACTATATATTTAATTAGATGCTTAGAAGATCAGATTGTGGGAACCGAACATTGACATGTCATGTCCCGGTCAATTCAAAGATACCACTTTTTTTAAGAGTTTCTTTTTAAGGCATTACATCAAAATTCTAGGGTTATTTTTGGTAGACTAATAAACTAGCTTATAGCTTATTTGATTAGCTTATAAGCTCTTTGTACTTAAATAAGCTCTGTTTGGTAGGACGAGCTTATTTAAAAAGCTCGAGCTTATTGATAAGCTTCTTTTGGTAGCTTTTCAAGTAAGCTAGTTGAATTTTTTATTCCAGCTAGCTTATCAGCTAATTTTACCAATTACTTTTATCATATAAGCTAGCTTATCAGTTATAAGTCATAAGCTATAAGATATAAACTCGAAAATTACTAATAAGCTATAAGCTAGCTTATCAACTATCAGTCAGTTTATCAGCTAGTTTTACCAAACATAGCCTAGGTAGGCCTAGAAAATTTGTGTTTGTTTGATGAATTAGCTGATTAGAATATTTGTTAAGATGTAGATACGCATGACTAGGCTTGTAAACAAATCAATTTTTGTTTGATTCAATTCGATATTCGTTATTTGAATTCAAAATATTCGAATTCGAATTTGAATACGAATGTTTTATATTCGAAAGTTAAACGAATCCGAATTCGAATTTGTAGATATTCGAAATTCGAATTCGATTCGTTAACAATAGTTATATAAATTTTGTAAATTGTATATAGTGTACATTTTGTTTACAATATATACCTAATATTTTTATGAGATAAAAAGATAAAACATCTTAAATTAACAATTTTTCCTAAAAATATATGGAAAAATAAAAATTATATTTGTAATTATAATATTTTCTTAAAAACGAATTTCGAATCGAATATGTTCGAATGTTCTAAACGAATAGAATACAAATTAATAAATGAGTTCGTTAACGAATCAAATACGAATTCGAATCCTCGAATATTTTAAATCGAATATCTTAGTATTCGATTTGATTCGATTTGTTTGCAACCCTACGCATGACTAATACCATAAAGTTAATTTTAAAATTTTAAAATTGATAAAAGAACAATAATAATAAGTTAATAACTATTCTTTTGTTAAAATACTATTTAATAACATATGATAATGGTGTACCAAAAGACGAAAGGAAATGCCTTTCCCTCGTAGAGATGAAAATTCATCTCTTACTATAGCTAATCAACCCCAGCTTATGTGAAAAATTCGTGTTACAATTGCATATTTTCCTTCGGAAAGTATTTCACTGTGAGAACTAATTAGTTCTTTTTTTTTTTTAATAATGTAAACAATGAAAAATAATAATTAAAGTTGATATGATATAAAGAAATTATTTATAAGGCCTTGTTTATTGACGACCTAACCCTTGGGTCATTAACAAATTAAAATAAATAAATAAATCATGAAAAATATATGACCCACATCGCAATGTGATCTTGGGTCACAATTGGTTAAAGAGAGAGAGGAATGTGACACTTGTCCAATTCTTATTGGACATGTGTGCTTTTTAAATAAGATAAAAAATACTATTAAAAATAAAAAATATCAAAATTTGTATTTTTTCATTCTCTATAAATAGAGACTCCATTTAATATGTTTTTGAAAACAATTGCAATTTTTCTATTTAGGTAATTGATGTGCGGTTTTTTTTATAAGTGTTTGTAACTTGCTTAAGCGATTTCAATACTTTATATCAATTTTTAATTGAGTTCGTAATTTTTTGAATGATATATTAAAATATGAATTTTTGAAATAATTGCAACTTTAATTAGAATTTTTTTTAATTATTTTTTCACAAGTAAAAGGTAACACAAATCAATTCTAGATGATACTTAATAAATAAATAAATAAAACTAAAACAAATATTGCAGGCTGAGTTAGGTTGAGCATAAAGATAAGTTGAGTTGTAAGATTGAGTTGTATAGGCAGAGAAGAGAGAAATAATTTTTAATTATTAGGTTGTGTTGTGGCTAAACATGGTTTAATGATTGATAGTTAGAGAAAAGTGAATCTAAAATTTCGAAGAGAATGAAAGAGTTAATTGAAAAGAGAAGGGATTTTTTTTTTCCACTCAAATATTTGATTTTTGTCAGTTTGTTTTATAATGTCTTAAAAGTTTGATAGAGTTTATCATATTGCATATGAAATTGACAATTTATCTCTTTAAGTTTTATACCCTAAAGTGAAACAACAAATTCTAACTTAATTAAAGAATCAAATTGTAAAATTGATATAGCGCTTTAATTGATGAAAAATGAACAAGAAGAGGTACGATCCCACTTTCTCTTAGACTTTATGTTGCTTAATAAGCATATGCATTCGATCTACATTTTTGTATATAAAATAAAATTGATTCTATTTTACCATCACCATTTATTATAAAACAGTAAATATATTGCTAAACATAAAGCTAATATACTAGAAAATTGCTTAAGTAATTAGGAGGGAGTATACGTTTGGAATTTCTAAAGACTTTGTCAGACTTAATAAATCTCTTAAATTTTGGTGTGTTTAATTTAGGTTTTTAGGACTATTTAAAATTTTCAAAAGTCTTGAGGTATTCAGTTAAGATCTTAAAAAGTCTTACAAAATCTTGAGATATTTATTTTATTTGAGATTATTATTTGTCAAGACTTTTAAGATTATTATTTGTCAAGACTATTATTTGTCAATTCAAAAAAAAACATATATGAAATCACACTCCAAATCGTACTTCTAAACTAATTAGATTTCACATGATTTCTTCTAAATTTGAAAATTTTAAAAAATCTCGAATCTCAATAAATCTCACAACGTCACTAGGAATCCCAAAAGAATACATCCCCTTCATCAAATAGCTAAAAAAGCTGTAGGAAAACTGCACATGACAACCCAAATCTAAATACAAACACTAAAACTAAAATAACAACAATGTCTCATACAGAAGAATAAAAAATTTCAATAATGCAGAGTGACGAACATTCTTTTGGGCTGAAACTATTATTTGGACTTCGTATAGAATTTTCAAATGCGGAAGAACATTCGTTTCATGTCACAATTAGAATTTATGTTTTTAATTACATATTTTTAATTTTAACAATTGACACTTCCCCAAAAATCTAATCACTATTTTTTTTTTTCGGTGACAGGGAAAATTGTGCAAGTTTTTAATATGGGTTGAGCCTTCTCTGTGCGCCCGTGCTACAAAGATAATCTCGAGTTTACTTAAGAGGAACTCTCGTGGGAGTGAGTTGTTTCTTGAAAACATTGAATTGTCGAAATTGGCCTACGTATTTCTAGTTTTTAGTCGAGTACAAAAAAGAGGTCTCTCAAAGAAAGATTATTCTAAATTTGTTCAAATAATTATTAATCACAAAAATGAAAATTAAATCTTAAACATTCTACTCAAAAGTTTGATGGTCGGATTGAGCTAAAATGAATGCAATTGAAAACTTATTGAAAGTTAGAGAATCACCAACTCGCAATACAATAAAAAATAAGAAGAATAAGTGTCCCAAGTGCAAAGATGGAAAGAAGACACTTAGGGGTCGTTTACTTTGGGGGACAAGATTAGATATGCATTTTAGTCATGAGATATCCGCTGTTTACTTTAAGAGAATTGGACTATTTTTTACCTACCTGGCGCCCATGTGGCATGAAGGCCCACATGTTCATCCCTCCGTTGCCGATAACTCTATCCCGCCTCCCCCCCAAGATAATTTAATCCCAGCAATTATGTACCTATTTTGTCCTCACTTTTCGCTTCCAAAGTACCAAAATAACCGTGGTTGTCCACCATATTACAATATTGTCCCATATAAAAAGTTGAAAATGACATTCTGCCCTAATTCTACCCAGGGACGAGCAGAAAGGAGGAAGAAACAATATTGTCCCATATAAAAAGTTGAAAATGTCATCTAGTGAAGTAAACGTGTAATAATTCGCTGACGTGTAAAGTAGCTGGACTATTTTGTTTAATCCCATCAATCAAAGTAAATGAGCCCTTAGAGGTTAGCAAACATTCTATCACATCTTATTCCCTTGAAAAGAGACGATTCGATAAATATTCTGTTTTCAGACGATAAAGAAGATACTCGAAATGAATCAATCGAGCTATCATGGGAAGTTATGCTAACACATAAAGTAACACAATATATAAACTGTAGAATAAATGCACAATTTCGGGCCTAAAACTATCCTAACAGAGTCCATAAGCATAAAAGGTCGAGTTTTAGATCATAGTCTCGACCATTTTACAGTTCAAAGCATGAAATCTAGGGCATCAACCAACTCTAACCTTGAAATCGACCACCAAATCACACATTCCTTATTCTTCAAGGATAATAGCCTACTCTAGTAAAGAAAGTTACCATCTTTACTATTGTAAATATCATTAATTAAAAATAAGACAAATTACAAGATCTTGAATTTAAAAAAAAAAAAATTAAAAAAACCTCCAAGTTTGTAGTAGCATACACGATAAAACATAAGTCGAAAAGTTGAGATCTTAACGTAGACATAGAATAATCTAAATATGGTCTTGGAATGATATAGAGAGATAAATACTAAGCAACATGAAAGTTATATCTACAACCAACATAAGAGTATTTATATCCACATTGGTTCACACATACTGAGCACACACATGCACACATTTAATGAGCTGCCAATAGGCCTTGGAACAATTCGAGCTTACATTGATTGGCAGGTGGCTCGGTAGGACTCGTCGATGGCATGCATGGGCTCGAGGACAGTGCGTGTCCGTGTGGGCGTGCGAGCACACTGGGCAGGGAGCTGGAAATCGTGCTACGAGAGTCGCTCGTTAGAAGCGGATCGTGCATTTGAGCCAGTCAACGACACGCACTAGATGCAAACTCGCACAACCAATAGTGCCCGCACTCGTGCACAACGTGACTGACCACTCGTTGTCGGCGGAGCACGCACTCGCTAAGTGCGGACTCACGCAATGGACATTGCCACGCTCGCTGGACAAATGTGGCATGGATGAACAGTAGTTGCTGGCGGTCGGCCTGGGCGTGGGGCTCTCAGGCTGTCAACCAGCTGCGCTTAGGTGATCGACGAACTTTGGTGATCAGCTAGCTGTGCTCGATCGATTTGTGGGCTTCATGCTAAGGCTGAGCCCATCAGGCGGCTGCTTACTACCAACATGCGACCAACGGCAACTAGGATGGCCAACTGTCTGACAACTTTTCTTATGATCTCTCGGTGAATTTCTCGGTCACACCAAGAGAATTTCTGAAAATCGTTTCCTACGAAATGAAATATAAAAAGAAACACAAAACACACTAAATACCAAAACAACATGAAAATACAAAAAATGAGCAAAAACGGCCTAATAGACTAGGAAAATCCTAAAATAAACTTAAACAAGTTCAACTAAATGGACCGAGAACACAAAACCAAGTAATTAATAACAAAAATACAACGAACGCTACACTATATGACACGAACAACCATCACCATCACCATGATGAAGGATCGTGTGTTCCGCTCAACTCGTTTGTCTCAAAACTAGCTTTGCCACGGCTTGATCTCGACGATAAGTGTGGACGACTCGGTTATTAGCCTTATCTTCTCACGATTTTTGAACTAGCTTGGGTCTTAGCCTTACTAATTCGGTTGCATGATAAAACTCTCACGAATCATAAACACACGGATGAACAAACGTTCTTTTCTATTAACTCATCAATCAACCATATGAAAAACAATGGGGGAAGACCCTATTTATAGCTCCTAATTTACTCTAGTCCTAATCTAACTAGATCACTAATTAAAGCAATAAAATATTAAATCCTAACACTACTAGAAATCTTAAAAGCAACTAGGAAACTAATTATCTTCTATTACTACTAGAATCCTAATTAAGCTAAGAATCTTGCTCTTCAATTCCCTTGCTTGCACTCCAAGTTCGGCCACCTCAAACCCCTAGCCGCCTCACTTGCGTGCGCCCGTCATTGCCTATTCCTCCTTGCGCGCGGCTTCGCACGTGCCTGCTCCCCACGCGGCGCTTGCCGTGCTCGCTGCCTGTCCGCGCGCCGTGTCTCGCGCGTCCTTGCCACCCGCACGCACGTCGCCTGCCAGTCCTAGGTCTGCTAGGCCTAGGCCTTCGCCCGTGTCCGCGCCACTCGCGCGTTCTCGCCATCCGCGCCGTTACCGTGCACGCCCAGCGCCCCAGCGCTGTTCTCGCGCTCACCCAGCGGCCCGCGCGTGCCGCCCAGCGTAAAGCGCTCGCTTGCGCGCCAATGCGCGCCTCGCTCGCCCAGCGCGCCATACCATTCCCGACACTCGTTCGCTGGTCCGCAGCAATCACTCGCGCGCATCATCCACCCATCCTCCACCCCTCGCGCGCCATTTCGTCTAGCCTCCATGCGCCATGCACGTTGCTTTCTCGCACACGGCTTGCACCATTCGCCTATCTTGCCCGGCACCTTGCACTCGGCATCGACCCAATCCTCCTCTTCGCATGTGCTCGCCGCACGTTGTTTCTTCGCGCGTCTAGCCTTGCGCCTCTTGGTGCGCTACCGTGCTCCCTTCCCACAACCTCTCGGCCAATCTCGCCTATAAGTGGGCCAATAATCTTGGTCTTGCGGCTCCTCTAGCCCACTCTCGAGCCAAATCTCGAGGTTATTTGAGAACTCGTCCTCGGGCTCGCTAGGGTCGATGACCACATTTTCATCACACCACTATCACGCGAGCAGTGATAATAAAAAATAGATGTAATTAGTAAGCAAATGTAAATAACCACAACCATTGTACAAATAAATAAAATAAATGTGTTATGTCTCTATATGGTTTTAAAATAATTCAATGTAAAATTCTTGTGGAGGGCCACCACTTATCTTTATCATTCTTTTTCTTCCTGATTAATAGTGAAGACCACAAATAAGAACAATAAACACCAACACTATCATAAAATAAAATATTTATAAATAAAAAAATGTTTAAATAGAGGAACAAGATGACTCATACCATTACAAAAAAATTGTCATATTCCAACGGAATATCCTAGGATGATATGTTCCAATAGAAATTCCAATGGATATTCCAATGGTATAACTTCTGTTGGAATCATTTCAACGAAAATTCTAACAAAAATATTATGTTGGAATGAGTTTTCCATTGAAATTTTAGTGGAATTTGACGATCCCATCGACTATTTTTTCAACAGTTTTTTAGTGTAGGAATTTTTTCGTTGAATATGCAATTTCGTTAGAATATACTTTCACACATATTTCAACCGTTGGAATCGTCAAAATCCAACAAGAATTACAGTAGAAAACTCATTCCAATGAAATAATTTTGTTGGAATCCATTGGAAAATTTCAACGGAAATAATAACATTAGAATATTCATTGGAATTGGAGTTAAAATTTTATTGAAATACATTTCCACTAAAATTTTCCATTAGAATTTCATCATTTTTCTTGTAGTGTGCAGTACTCAGGCAAAGACGTGTTCTACTTTCTCTTGCTTTGTGAGTATATAGGGGAGGCCATTTGATGAAATTTTCCACAAAGATTGTTGGTTCAATGAGCATGTATTTTAGGGTTTTTTCTTTTTATAGTGAAGTTTTTTCCCATTTCGTTCACTTTTTTGGCCTCGAAATATGAAACTTGTTCCGTGTCCCCACCTTATTTATGTTTTTGTGGTGACATGGCAAATTTTTACAGCATGCACGTCCACATAAGACTCGTTGAGCTGACTATGCACTTCATATTTCCTTTTTTTGCGAACTCAACCACTGTGCACTTCTCCGGCGGGACGCCGATCGTTCCGACGGCGGTTGGCCCATGGCTGCGCGACTCTCTCTCGGTGGTGTCGTTGTTCATCTGCTCGAGCCAGCGGGGTGGGCGAATGGTCCAAGGGGTTTCGCCATCTTCTCAGTGACTCTTTGGGCTGGTGGCCCGTTAATTCTCCTGGGTGGCGAGGTTGTGGAGGACGCTGGTGCTTCTGATGGGAAGGTTTGGTGCTCTGACGGCCGGATTGTGGGGGTCGGTCGGAGTAGAGGAGGTATGTCTCTTTCCTTATTTTTTCTTTGGCTCATGGTGCGCGGGTCGAGGGTGCTGCTGGCGCGACGAGTCTTAGCCTATGGTTTGGTCAGAGCTCGGGGCGATGGTGGTGCGATGCGGATCTGGTTCAGCTTCCTCCAGCTGAGGGTGAGGTCGGCTGCTCGGGGGCGGGTCGAGTTTCTAGGGTCTAGCTCCAGTTAGGTGCGTTTGTTTCAGTTTCTAGTATTGGGGTCTGGGGCGAGTTCCGGTCCGTATGTGTGGTCAGCCATTGGTATTACTGTCGAAATTGCTTGGCGTGTTCCCGGCCGTAGGAAGGGCTTTAACCTTTATTTATTTGTGTTGTGTTTTGTGTTTGTGTTTTGTGGTGTTCTGTTTCTGGTTGTTGTATCTTGTTAGTGTTTGATGTGTTTGTTTTGTTTGTGAGCTGTGTTTTGTTTTATTCTCCTTTAGAGGAGCGTAGTATTCTCCTGTGAAGAGTTAGAGTTATTCTCTTGTGGGGAGTTAGTGTTATTCTCATTTGGGAAGTTTTTATTTTGCTTTTTGTGTTGTAGTGTGTGTTGTGGCATCTAGGCTGGCCTCCATGAGTAGCTCTTATTTCGGTTGTCAGCCGGTTGTAATTATGTGTTTTAGTTTATAAACCTATCGTTTCGAAAAAAAAACCACTGTTGGGTAGTAACTACGTGATTTTATTAGTTACTGCTATTTATCAAAGTTCTATAAGGCACTAGGCGCTCACTAGGTGGCAGACTGAGGCATAGCTCCTAGAGCGTTTAGGCATAAATTAGATGGGGGCCTAAGCAAAGTCGTAAAAATACTAATTTTTTTATTTACATTTATAATCATGCATAATTTACAAAATATATTTTATAAAATATAATAATTAGTATGAATAAGTAGAAAGATTTTAAAAAATATTGTACTTATAATTTATATTAATCTTTACTTAATTTATTTATATTTTTAATTATCATACATTTCATGTATAAAAATCAACCAACCTAGGCATAACTAACTTTTGCAATCTTCGACCACCTAGGCAATGCCTAATTGCCCGAGCGCCTAGAAGAGTTGCCTAGACGAAAGTATTAGTAAAGTTAGTGACTAATTTTTCTTCCCGAAAAGATACTAAATGATTTTTGACAAATTTACCCTTTGGAATAATTTTTAAAATATATAATATATCAAATTAAAGTTACATAACCAATGACCCTATCTATAGCTCGAGTAATACCTTCAATCTTTTATGAGAGTGTTGCATAGGTAGGTACATGGTACTATCATCCTCCATTTATAAAAAATTAAACACTTAGGGGGTGATTGTATATGAATTCAATTAATAAAAAACTAGTTTTTTTAACTATAGTTAAGTTTAAAAAAATGTGATATGGTTAGTTGTTAGTAGATATATTAAATTAATATTTATAATAAAATAATTAAAGTTGATTTGATATAAAAGTAGGAGAAAATGATTGGAAGTGATGGTTAGTTAAAATTATGTGAGTGGATGAATAGTGAATTAAAGTTGATGTGATGTGTAACAATGATTAGTTGATATTATTTAATTATATTGAAAATATTGGAGATAGTGGAGTTGAGTTAAAATTGAGTTAAATTTGAGTTTTAATTGATTTTTTTATTGTCCAATTCATATCTAATCGCACCCCTCTCTCTCTCTCTCTCTCTCTCTCTCTCTCTCTCTCTCTCTCTCTCTCTCTCTCTCTCTCTCTCTCTTTCTCTCTCTCTCTCTCTCTGTGTGTGTGCCAAAAGATTTTGCCATAATAATTCGAGTAGGAGGAGCTACGCCCGCCATATATTTAGAGTTCTTTGCCAATACTTTCTTTTCTTAATTATTATGTACGTTGATATATTTGATGCCTCTAGATTATTATGACTTTTCATCTCCAAACCAACCCCACCATCAATAACCCTCATAATTTTCAGCCTTTACTACACACACATAAAATGAGAAAATGAAGACTATTCTTTATTTTTATATTTATTTGAATGCCTCATACTTATCCAAATGACATCATTGCCCTTGTTAGAATCATGAACCAAACACCACTACTCTATAAATTGATGTCCCTCTTATTTTAGTTTGTTCACTCATCACAAAAAGCACAAGTGATCAAGATTGATTGAAGAAGATGGCCAGGATCAATTCTCTTACAACTGTAACCCTCCTCCTCCTCCTCCTATGTTTGATGCTGGCTCGAGCCATAGCCCGGCCCGGCCCGACTTCCGACGAGGCGACTCACATGGAAACTCCTTCCACGGTGAGCCCTTTAATTATATATATGCTCATGTAGTTTTGATAATCTATATGGTCATATTTTCTTAGGTATATATTTCATGAGCAAAGCTTATAATCATTTTTTATTCATCTAATTTAGAATATCTATAAGTTTATCATCTATCTTCTAAGGTTTATAATGTTTGTTTATTTATTTGGAAAATTCTTAAGTGCCGTTGTGTATTTTAGCAGAACCAATGAACATTTGCCACATCATTTTAGTTTGGTAGGTTTTTATCACATCTAAAGGTCCTTATCAATTTTACAAAATTTAATGACTGAGATTAAATTAACGGAATGGTGCCTGCACGGCACCATAGCCAACCCCTTATTTATTTATTTTTTAAAATTAGGATCAATATGAAGTGGAGAAGATAAAAAAAGAAGAAGGTAGCTTATCATCATGTGGTGGAGGTGAGGAAGATGAATGCATGAGGAGATCACTTCAAGCTCATCTTGATTATATCTACACACAGAGCAATAAGCAGCAGCCATAGACAAAAATTATAATATATTTTTTTATTATTATTATATTTTGTACGAATTAAGCTGAGGCATATGTTATTTAGTTATTTTTGTTTACGTACCTTGTTTTATTGTCTTCTCTTAGGGTTCTTTCGTTTGTCTTTCTCTTAAATATTTATAAGATAATTTGCATTAATATTTATTATTATTTGTGCCATTTCATTTACATAAAAATTTACCCCTATTATATTTACGTCAATATTTAATAACTTGATTTTTTTTTTTTTGGTCACAACAAACTTCCATATTTTCTATTTAACTTGTGCAATAACTAGAATCAAGCATATAAATCTACACTATATGAATTTATCTTATATGAAGCTAGAGAAATGCTACAATCCCGTCGGAAGTTTTAACCGTTGGATACGCATGTAGTTTGTATAAGATAAATGATTTAATGGTTTAGACACCGGGCGGGATGGTTCTGTAATGGGACCATACCATTTCTCATAAAGGTATATAATATAGGTGAATGTCATAATTTACACCACATGCTACTCACAACTTTCGGTCTTAGTTGGCCCATCTTTTGTCCACAATAGCTTTTGTTTTTCTTACATATATATCAAACCAATCAATTAAATTCATCATTCAACTGATAAAGAAAGCAATTAAGTAACAAGCGTGGGATAACAAAAGATTCCAGTTCACAAAAAATGTAAAGGTGTTTGATTGTGTAGGGAAACATAAAATCAAACTTCAGGTATTCAAAGATTATAAGTGGGTCATAACCAGTAACGGAGCTAGGATTTTTACTTAAGCGATTTCAATTGTTAAAAAATGAGTTTGTAGTTTACGTAGAAAGGCTCATTTCATATTGATATAGCCATATTATCATATTCCAATTTAAGTTAGTTAATTACTCGACCGGACGACAAGTCGAGTAGCCCACAAATTGGACCGGAGCAACGTGTCTCAAGTTGACGTCTTTAGGTCGACACGCCTAAGTCGACTCTCTGAATAACGTCACAGTAGGTAAAGTCGACATCTTCAGGTCGACACGCCTGAGTCGACTCACTTTGCAAGAACACAATAGTGAAGATAACCCTCTATATCCGATGTCTTGAAATCGACATGCTAAGGGTAACTCCCACAAATCGTCCAAGTCGAGGAAGATGACCTCGACTGCAACCGACTTTGTTTATAAGACGAGAACAGTCCATGGGCGAGCCATGGAGCTTCTCCATACTCACAAACCCTAAGTCGACCTCTAGCTACTCGAGGTCGACTTCTTATACCTTAAGATGGGGAGGAGGTGGCGACTCAAGGTACTTCAGGATATCTGAGCTAATTCGCTGGGTAAGCAGGAATCTGTAATGGATAAGACGGAATCTTAAGCTGACTCAGGTATGACTAAGGGGAGATTATGACACAAGCAAACATGGCAGATGGGCCGGTTTACTCCAGATCTAGGAGGCGATTCGAACAGATCGGAGCTCTCAACCACTGGTTTACTCCAAATCTTGGAGGAGATCCATCATTTGGCGCCGTCTGTGGAGAGATCTTAACGGAAGCAAGAGCTTTGCACTTGGTTCTGATCTGTTTGAGATGGCTGAGAAGGAAGGCTTGCAGAGGAACTTGAATGAGGATTTCAGGGGGACATGGACAGATAGAAGGCCCGCGCCGATTTCGAGTCCCAAACTGACATTACCTATGTTTGGTTTTCCACCGTTTGGAGGGCACGCGCCGCCGGGAGTGCGTATGGAGGAGGAACACCCATTACCCCACCTGGGGTAAAAATTCCAGTGTTGATGCAAGGAGGAACTAACCAAGTACAGGGTCTAAGTGCGGGAGTCGACGGCCGAGAGTCGATGAAGACGTTTGCTGGAAGGCAGTTGGGAGGGGTGGCAGAGCAGGGAACGAGACCACCATCCCATGTCGAGGAAGACGCTACCCGTCACAAGTAGTGAAATGTAGAAAATGATTGCAGAGGCGGTGGCTGCCCAACTCATGCAAACAACCCAAGTCGAGCACCAACCCAGGGTCGAGCAACAACCCAGGGTTGAGATGCAACTCAGGTTCGAGAAACAGCCCCATGTCGAAAGGGAGCAGCAGGCCCAATCAAATGAGCGACAGAGCAGGAGGGCGGACGAGGTGGAGTCCTCAATCAAAACCATCAACCCGCAGGCGAGGAATGATACACTAGAGCAGTTGATGGCCCAAGTCCGTAATTTGCAGGCTCGAGTGGACATCCGTTCTCGCAACATATCTTGGATGCTGACTTTCTACAGGGATTTAGGGAGTTGAGCATATGGTATGACGGGTCTACTTACCCATCTAGACATTTGAGAAGTTTCGAGAACATGACAGTGTTGCATCGCTACAGTGATCCTGTCCAATATCGACATTTCTTAACGACATTGCGAGGACCTGCACAAGACTGGTTTCACCAATTACCACCAGGAGCTATCAGGGACTTTGACGATTCAGCTCAAGTTTCCTCAATTAGTTTGCGAGTATCAGAGCCCAGGAGAAGTCATACCTTACTCTGATTGGTATGCAACAAAAAGAGGGAGAACCGTTGCGAGACTATGTGGCGAGGTATACACGGGTGTATGTCGACGTTCCCACGACAACGGAGGAGATTAAGTCGGGAGGACTGACTAGAGGGCTACTACCGGGATTATGTAGGAATTCTTTGGCGAAACAAACTGGTAAGAGCTTCGATGAAGTCTTGGGAAGATGTGCGAAATACATGAATGTGGAGGAAGTAAGAGCTGACTTTTTGCAAGCCGCAAAAGCGACCAAGACGGACACACATGATGAGAAGAAAGATAATAAAGCTTACTCTTCAGGGGAAAAGAGAGGATCCCCGTGAGCCGAGAGAGGGGAAGGACGATCCAGAGGTTGGGGACCAATTGAGTATACGCCCTTATTGGCTCCCCAGGCGAGAATATTCGAGGTGATGGAGAATAAGATTCACGAGAATATGGTGAGGTGGCCCATGACGAGAAAGGATGGACCCGTGAAGCCTAAAAAGATCTTGTACTGTCGATTTCACAAAGATTATGGGCACAAAATAGACGATTGCAAGCACCTCAAAAACGAGATCGAGAAGTTGATCAAAGCTAGGCACTTGAAGGAATTCATATACAAGGATAGGGAGAGATCGAGTAGGAGGAGAAAAAGAAGCAAAAGCCTCCGCAAGAGAGCGAGATTACCTGAAAAGGAGGAACTCCCTCCTAAGAGGGGAGTAATTCACATGATATTTGGAGGATCTACCGACGGAGACTCAAATCGAGCGAGGAAGGCATATGCTTGAGGTCGACATGCCAAAAGCGAGATACAACAAGTCGACGAGAATGGGCCAACAGATGTGGGGGACGTCGAGAGGCCTCACAATGACGCTTTGATGGTAACCGCGCAAGTGTCAGGCTACGAGGTGCAGAGAGTGTTTGTCGACACAGGGAGTTCTGTGAATGTCATTTTTTACGACTGCCTCAAAAAGATAGAACTCGACATTGAGCTCACGCCCCTGCACACATCGCTCTTTGGTTCCAACGGATCCGGAGTTGCACCCCTCGGAGAAACCATGCTGGCAGTAGTCTCGGGGGAGGGCGACCTGAAAAAGGTGAAGATGGTAAGATTCTTGGTGGTGGATGTCGAGTCGGCCTATAAAGTGATACTGGGGAGACCAGCGCTCAACGCTTTCAATGCAGTGATGTCGACTTATCACATGAAGTTGAAGTTTTCCGTCGGAGATTGAGTAGGAGAGGCTTGAGGGGATCAGAAATTTTCGAGAACCTGCTACTAGATAGCAGTAAAACCAACCAACGAGCAGCAGTAAAAAAAGGAAAGAAGCCTATGTCGGGTGAGAAAAGGATGAGGGGAAGCGACCTGAAGCCACATGGGGAATTAATGGAAATACAGATCGAAGAAAGGGAGGATCAAACCACCAAGGTCGGGAAGGAGTTGGAAGATGAGTTGAGGAAGCAACTTATCGAGTTGTTGAAAGAGTTCAGGGACATATTTGCCTTCACCCCAGAGGAGTTGACGGGGATCGACCCCGAAATCATGGAGCACAAACTCAATGTTGACCGTGGTCCGGGTTCGATGTGGCAACTCGGGGCCGACACGAACTCGATTGTCACGGCTTAGCCGATGCACGAGTTTGAAACGGTGCCACGGTCACTGACGCATGGGCATGCTTGGACCACAACTAACGAAAACGACATGTATACGGTAGATCAGATGGACTCGGTGCACGGGCACGCACTCGGTGGTTCGGCTCCAACGGTTATACGAGAGTCGAGTACGTGTGCGGGATGACGATACGAGTTAAGAATAAATTCTATGACGTCTAAAATTATTTAAACGGTACTAGGGATCGGTCTATTAAGCCCGAATATAGAATTTACCTGGTTATTGGAACTGGATAAAACTAGGGTTTTTGATTCTCAAGAATCTCAACTCATTTAAGTATGATACTTAAATCATAATTTCTATGTGATTTATAAGGATTTTACATCCAACAACTGCAGATAAAATCACAACCGACTAATTTCTACAATTATCGCACTTGATCGACTAAAGTCCCAATTTTTAACTATATCAAACGACATCCAAAATTCACGAAATTTAAAACATAACGTTCTCATCATATACATAGTATATGGTCAAAATATCGCAACTCAATTCAACTCCTAACACATTCAACTAGTAATCGCTTCAACCGGTCAAATCATTCAAAAATTCTGTTCGTCTATCAAACAAACTCTAAAATTTTCCTGATCCGCATTTTAAGCCTCAAGACAACGCAACTAATTTTGTAAAATTTATTTCATCCTTTTATCGCATTTTTATAAAAAGCTCGAAAAATCCACTTCAAGCTCGATAAATTCTAATAAATAAAATATCACTCAAATCCTCAAATTCACATTTTTACATCATCTTAATAATCATATCTAAGCTCATGGAGAAGAGTTCAAGCCATTTTACCTAAAATCGGGCTCGAATCGGAGATCGAAAAATC